CACACACACACACACACACACACACACACACACACACACACACACACACCTTCAACCAGGAACAACCTGGCTGCTCTGAGGGAACGCTAAAGCTCCACGTTGTTGTTTGTGGACTGCAGCAAACAGCGACTGAAGCTGGCATCTGAATCCAGCTGCAGGAATTAAAACAAACTTCTTCTATCCGCGTTCCTGTCCACACCGGGACCATAAAGTTACCCCCCCACCCCCCCACGCTAAACACAATGAAAGCAGCTCTTCACCAGAGAAACATGAGACATACAAGCACCTCTGAGATTTGCTCCAGAGCAAAGCCCGCATCGCAGTAGCTCGGCCGCTGCAAATACTCCAAATCCAGCGGTGCGCAGCGGGCATAGTCCCCCCTGCTCCTGCGCGTTACCCGCGGCCGCTCGGGGTCTCCGCTTTCCTGCTCCGAGGGCGCATTAGCAGCCGAGGCCATGATGTGGAGGGGACTGCGAGGTGGTTGGCGTTTCCCACTTTATAGTATTCCCCCAAAAGCGCGCAGCGATATCCCGAGGCAGCCCGGCAGTTTGACTCTTGGAGATCTCCTCACAGCCGCGAAGAAGAAGAAGACGTGGGACTTCATACTCCTGTTGGAGACGGCGAGTCAAAGTCTGCGCCTTCCATCCCAACATTTCGTGCTCCGGAGGTCTCCGCCGCTTTCAACACTTTCACCCGAGTCTCTTAGAAGCCCAAAAAAAAAAAAAAAAAAAAAAAACCTTCCTAAACAAAACAAAGAAAAGCATGAGAGATGATCTGTACTGGAAGGCGAGCTACGCAGAGAGATTCCCATACACGAGTGCTCGGCGAGGGACGCTCGATGGTCGCAGCATTCTGCCGAGATCTATGTGGTCTTCCCCTGGGCCGCGCGTCACGGCCAACTCTGAGATTCAATAGAAGGGGAGGAAAAAGACCTCTACGTTTGGAGGCAGAGGAGGAGGAGGGGTGAGAAAACTTAGAAAAAAAGACTCCAGATCCCGCCTCTGGGGCTGTCAGATTTCAGGACTTTCTTGCATCTGATTGGTTCCAGAAGGGCAAAAATTACTCAGCAAACACGACTATTATTAGCTGCTTAGCAACAGCTCACTAAAGTAGAGAGACCACCCAGGCAGACACCTCGTGCGCGCATCCCGGACTCCAGGGGCGGAACTCTGTGAGCGGCCGGAGCGCGCCGGGTTGCGACAGCGCAGCGCTCCGGTTAGCAGAGAAAAATGAGCACAAATTAAGTTCTCAGTGCTCAACAATGTCACAAGCAAAGTTTAGGACTTTTGTTTTTGTCAAGGTGGACCTCAGTGCAACGGTTGGAGGAGAGGTCTTGGCCCCCCTTTGAAACAGCAGGCCTGCAGTTTACAGATTAATGTTATCCATTCATTAAAGTCGTCTTTTAAGTGATCACTTTTCACAAATAGTACCTTATCGGCTGTGACATCCATTTTAGGGCACCGAGTATGAAAAAAATAAAAGGTTATTGGATTTTTGGCCGATATCTGATATGCTGATATGTTAAAACGTATTTGGCCGATACACGATACCGATATTTTATATACTTTCCTTTGTCAGAACATAGCCCTCTTATTTAGGCTTATTTGCTACAAAAATTGTGTAACAGCTGTAAGAGCTGGTGACATATTCCGTAACAGCCATATGATATGCATAGCACTTTAACTTATATTAAATGAAAGTGTTAAATATTATTTATTAGCATTAGTCACTTGCGATGCTGTCTCACTTGTGGAGGCTTGTTCCAGGTTCCTAGCTGCAGAGTGGGATTCTCTGCACTACTGTGCATGAAGGACAGACTTTTTAAGTTTAAAGTTTTTGTTTATCCATTGTGCCGTAAGACTAATCATGCTAACATGGCTAACACGACGTCCAAATGTTTGTGGTAAAACTCACTCAAGCGCTATCGGCTATTAGCTTCTCAATGACATAAGAAATGACGGCTTGTAAGTCGGGTAAGGCTACGTCAGAAAAATATCTCTGACTGGGGACGATGTAGCGAGGCCCAACGTAGTCCAAAAATCTTCAGAATCTGACACCCTCACCATTGAAAAAAAAAACTTCCACACCGCTGACATTTTGAATTTTCCTCTCCTTTTTTTTTTTTTTTTCCTTTATTAAAGATTTTAATCAAACATTACAAACATCTGTTTGCCAGGGGTATAGATATTAGTGTAAAAAAGATAATATTCAAGTACAAAACATAAAAAACCATGAAATTATATTTACAATTTATACAGAGTTTAAATTCACATTAAGCTTTTCCAGAGTTGAGATGGTTTTCATTGCCTTTTGGTTTTCCAGTCCATTAATTGAGGTGATGTATTGAAGAAGTTCTTTGCTGAAATGGGTTATGTTTGGTTTGGAGTTGGACCATTTTTTCTTGTGAATGTGAAACTTTCCCAGGACTCTCCTCCGTGAGATCAGGTAGGCGCGCATGACGTCATCACGTTGTGCTGCCACTGCAGGCATCCTTGTCACTGGGTTGTCATACAAAAACAGTGCCTTTTACTGTATATCGGTGAGTTATTTTGATTGAATGGCCAATGTCCGATATTGAACTTTAACTCTAATATCGACCGATACCATTCTGATAATATTGTGCACCCCTAGTTAAAATCTTCCTTTAGACTAGGCTAATAGCTAGCCAAACAATTTTAATCATTTTTCAGGCTCAATTTTTAGCATGCGTACTATTAACTAAAAAACGTAGATGGAACAAGTGCCCCATTCAGGGCTGACTACGTACATTTTTTAAGCCCCGCCCTCCACTTGAACCAATCAGATGTTAACCTTGTAATTGTTACTTTTTTGTAGATCACATGGTCATAGTCAGTATTTTGTGATGCATTGTGGTAGTCTGATTACAGTATATATTTTTTCCTACTTCAGTTTTGTTGGCATACACTTGGTCTAAATATTGTTCACCTGTGTTTCAGCTGTGCTCTGCTGTTTGAGCTCTGGAAGTATTGCACGTTGAGGGCATTTATCAGATCATAAAGCAGGTGTACAGCACCAAAAGACTACATTTAAACGTTGACCTTGAAAACAAGAACTATGAATGTATTTGACCATTTAGTGCCCAGTTTTACGCATGTGCTAGTAAAAATGTCAGTCACTTAAAATGTTTTTCAGTTGCTGTTTCTTTGCTGATTCATGTAGCTCTTACCTTTTTTGCTATATGTTTAAATATGCATTTAGAAAATGTTTAAATATTATACTGTGATTCACAGTGTCACATTGGCATTACCAACAGTGGATAAAGCATCTCCGCTCCTTCCCATGGTTTGAAATTGAAGCCAAAATGGCCATTTTTGTGGGTGCTGTCATGTAGTATTTTCAGGATCAATGCTAGTACAATTGAGACATGGAGCAAAATATGTGTTTTATTTTATTTATTCATTTATTTATTAGTTCTGGTCTTCAATTTTTGTTTCCCTGAGTTCCTCTTTGCCATTTATTATTTTCCCTCAGCTCATCACATCTCCTTTGTGAACCAAGTAAACAAAAATCCTAATGACCTTCAGGCGGGATGGGAACGAGATTAATCTGCATGTGAATTTAGCTTGCTTGAACAGCATCTCTCACAGTTTAACTGTCCAGTTTTGAATTTATAAAGCTTCCCAGATGGGAGGCAGAACACCTTCATCTATACAGGAAGTGTAGTGGAAGAAGTCCAGTTGTTTTGTTTTTTTGTTATTTTTCATTTTTTGTTGAGTTTTGGTTTTTATGAGATTTGATTGGAGTTCCTAAAGGCTCTGGATGTTGTAGGGTTGTGTTGGCTTACACGACTATGCAATACTGCGTGGACATCGGGGGCAGTTCCCCTGGATTGGCAGACTGGGGTGGTGGTCCCCCTATTCAAAAAAGGGGCCCGTAGAGTGTGTTCCAACTACAGGGGGATCATGCTCTTAAGTCTCCCTGGTAAGGTCTATTTAGGGGTTCTGGAGAGGAGGGTCTGTCGGATAGTCGAACCTCGGATTCAGGAGGAGCAGTGCGGTTTTCATCCTGGTCGTGGAACACTGGACCAGCTCTACACTCTCAGCAGGGTCCTGGAGGGTGCGTGGGAGTTTGCCCAACCAGTCTACATGTGCTTTGTGGACTTGGAGAAGACATTCAACCGTGTCCCTCGGGGAGTCCTGTGGGGGGTACTCCAGGAGTATGGGGTACCAGGCCCTTTGATATGGGCTGTTAGGTCCCTGTACAACCTGTGTCAGAGCTTGGTCCACATTGCCGGCAGTAAGTCAGGCTTGTTCCCAGTGAGAGTTGGACTCTGCCAAGGTTGCCCTTTGTCACAATTCTGTTCATAACTTTTATGGACAGAATTTCTAGGTGTTGAGGGGATCCGTTTTGGTGGCCTTAGGATCGCTTCTCTGTTCTTTGCAGATGATGGTCCAATTGGCTTCATCAAGTCGTGATCTACAGCTTTCACTGGAGCGGTTCGCAGCCGAGTGTGACGCGGCCGGGATGAATATCAGTTCCTCCAAATCCAAGGCCATGGTATTGAGCCAGAAAAGGGTAGAGTGTCCTCTCTGGGTTGGGGAGGAGGTCCTGCCCCAGGTGGAGGAGTTCAAGTATCTCGGGGTCTTGTTCACGAATGAGGGAAAAATGGAGTGTGAGATCAATAGGCGGATAGGTGCAGCGTCGGCAGTGAAGCGGGCGCTGTATCGGTCTGTCGTGGTGAAGAGAGAGCTGAGTCAAAAGGCGAAGCTCTCAATTTACCGGTCGATCTACGTTCCTGCCCTCATCTATGGTCATGAGCTTTGGGTTGTGACCGAAAGAACGAGATCACGGATACAGGCGGCCGAAATGAGTTTTCTCCGCAGGGTGTCTGGGCTCTCCCTTAGAGATAGGGTGAGAAGTTCGGTCATCCAGGAGTGACTCAAGAGTAGGGCTGCTGCTTCTCCACATCGAGAGGAGCCAGTTGAGGTGGCTCGGGCATCTGTTTAGGATGCCTCCTGGACGCCTCCCTGGTGAGGTGTTCCGGGCACGTCCCACCGGGAGGAGACCCAGAGGAGTTTTTGATTTACTTGGGAACTGAGGATAGTAGTTACTGATGCTTTAAAAGAAAAGACTGGTCCATAGATGCATATTTTGGCATGCAACCCCCCCCCAAAAAAAAAAAAATCTGAAACATTTGTCCATTTGAATAACAAATTATCAACATTTTCCCATATCTCTGAGGTGAGTGTGAGTAAAAACTGTAGTATCCTTATGAAGATAAGAAATGTGTCTTCCACTTTGTGTAAAGGCGATTCAGACTATATTTATAGATTAATTATGGGCTGTGTTGAGCTAGATTTTTTTCCAGCTTACTTCTGTGCCATGCTGTGCAAGATTTGTGGTGAAAAACTACCTATGCTGTGTAATAATACCATTTCATTAGCGTCAGAAATGACTTGGGGGGGGGGGGGGGGGTGTATCTGAGTGGGAAATTGTTTTGCAAACAGACAAAAAAAAATGCTGAAATGCCCCCTAATGCACCTGAATTAAGCCAAGCTTTTCTCAAAACTTACTGGAAACAACAGTCGTAACTCCTGCCTTATATCTGTGCTACACATGTACATGTTGTCATGACAGTAACGCTGCAGGACTCCATTAAAGTGCCGTGGGTCATTCTGGAAAACGGTCCTCCCTGACGAATACTGTAGCGTAAAAGCTGTAAAAATATGCCAATAAAAATGCTGTGGGAGATTATACTGCAAGCATCTGTGTGAACTAATGAAACACATGTGCACATATGATGCCAAAACACTTCTGACTAAACACGAGGATCTTTTCTTTCCGTTTCATTTACAATTACGTGCAAACATGGATCAGATGGAGCAGCAAATACAGCAAATCAATCCAACAAATGACCTCTTGAAATTTTTTATTTTTTTAAAT